AGTGCTCGGGAGCTGGAGTCTGTCTGCAGTTGCTCTGATTGTGAGTCAGTCTGTCTGCAGTTGCAGTAGCCGTGAATCAGTGTCTGCCTGTAATTATGTGGGTGAATCAGTGTTGGCTTGTTACACTTGTGAGTGCAAGCGGTTTCCTGTAGCGGTTGTGGGTGTGAGTCACTCTACAGTCCCTCTGGATGTGTTTTCAAGCAGAGAGCTGCAATACTGGGATTAGTTTTGTTTTGAGAAATTGTCAAGCGGCTTCCCATTTTGAAAAAATTAAAGCTGGGCTGAGAGTTGGGCATGGAGCTTGCTCAACATCACCAACCTTCTGCAGGAGAGACCCAATTTAAGGCTTGCTTTCAAAATTTCTGTGTCGATTTGGACCTTTACATTTCCTTCCCTTGTGCCTCTGGATTTGTGTCCTCTTAAGCTGGTGTCTCCTGCAGAGCTGCAGACAATGCGTTTGGTAACCATCACGTGTGCCTTGTACCTTGTGTGGCAGATTGATGGGAAGGTGATTTATGGCTTGTGCAGTGTGTGTTTATAGGACTGCTCAATGTGCACCTCTCGGGTGCATTTTCACGTTTGAGTCAAAGCCTGGTTCCTCTGCCATGAGCTGCCTGCTGTGTGCCAGCGCTGGCTCTCTAAGATGGCAAACAGCAAGTTTGATTCAGGTAGGCAAGGGCACTGCTGCCTTGTTCTTGTTCTCACATTCTTATAAATGCTGTGGTAGCTTTTGGTCTTCTGGTGGTATATCTATTTAGCACAGAGCTGAACTGAGAGCCAAGTTGGATGGAAGCAGAGTCCAGGCTGACAAACCAAGCCTTCCTCTGCACTAGCTGGTGCAGGTAGAGCGCGCTGCTAGCGGGGCTGGACTGCTTCCAGTACAGGCTGGCTTGGTGTCTGCACTGTGCAGCACATGTGTGCATCCCAGCGAGCTCATCTCGCAACAAAGGGATGTGAAGAGCCTGTGGGACCAAGGTCTTGTGAAACACCACAATGTTATTCTACCGTTTCCAGGCTCCAAGACAAAATATGTCTGCTCACTGCTAGCCCTGCACCCAAAAAAAGAGAGAGTTTTATTCCAAGGGATCCTCCTTTTTAGCTGAAATGATTGAGAACTGAAGCAAACCCACCCCAGCAGGGACACAGGGCAGCATGTGCATCATCTGCATTTTTTCTGCTGCACCGAGTGCTTGCTGGCTGCCCATCGCTGCAGGAGGGCTCAGAGCTGTACCCAAAACAGTGCTGGAAGAGGCATGGCAGCGACAATCTCAAGGCTGGGGTGTCTGCAGAGGATCAGGGACAGCACAGCCTGCGCAGGCTGGATGCTTCTGGAGTCCATAAAGGACGTCAGAGGACCTCTCCTGAATACCCAGGACCTGGTCTGTGAAGGCTGCGGTGCAATGAGGGAAGGAGCAGCTCTGAGGAGCTGCTTGTGCACCTGATCTGGGGGTAAACCTGCAGGTGCTGAGGTCGCATACAGCACTATGCTCAGTTGTGCAGGTGGGCAGATGGTTCAGCACCAACTGGGGTTGGATCATCCCCTCCCTCCTGTGCTTGTATCTGAGCCATCGAACTGCGGCTGCCTCTGCTTCCCAGCTGGCTTCCCAGCACCAGCCCTTCTTTGCTCACATGCCCCTGAGATACCTGATTTGGCAAAGATGCCAAGCAGCTGCAGGTCCTGGGGGCTGGCAGGGAGCTGTAAGCATTCAGCACTCCTCTGGCTGATGGCACCGCTATGGGTGCGCGGCGCGGCACGTGGGCACACCAGCGGTGATGCTGCAGGCATGCTGCCTCCTGGTGTGTAACAGGGGCAGATGTGTCCTCTGGGCTGCTGCTTCACAAGTGCCACCTGCATGATGAGACTATTGCTAAGTGAATCAAATTGCTCCCTTGGCTGCGCGTGTTTCAAGGAGGCAGTAATTTGGGAGAGATACTAATGTGACTCTCATAAATGTACCCATGTGGGTTTTTGGGACCCTTTCCTTCATTTACTTTCCTTTGCCTGCATTCTCCTTCTCTCTCTCTCTCTTTTTTTTTTTTTTTTTTTTTTTTTTTTTTTTTTTTTAAGCTTTACCTCTTTCTCCACCTCCAGAGCTTTCTTTTCCTTGTCAGCACTAAGCCTGTGTTAATCACTCTTTCCTAGGAAGGCATTTCAGAATATTTAATGGCTCCTACGGTAAGGATTGCTGAAAGGATCAGACCTGGTATGCAAAGTCAGGAGAGCCCCGATGTTAACATCAGTAATAGGGGACCTTGCTGATCCAAAAGGTACCAGCGTGTTTTTGATTCCCAAACCCACCTCAGGAGGAACAGGAGCTGGAGGATGTTTTGGGGAAGCTTTTCCAGTTCCTCTGTCCAAAACTGCACAGCCAGGAGGAAAGCTGTTTCCTGGGAGTCTTGTTTCGCTGTGGTGCTCTGGAGATTGGACAGACAGCATGTGCTGGAGAGGAGTGGGTATATTTACAATGCCTTTAGGTATCTGGTTGTAAAGAAACCTGCCAAAATCCAGAGTGTACTGAATTGTAAACTTCAAGTGTTGCTTAATCCCAGCTGCAAAATGTTAGCAGGGCTCCTTAGAAAATCTGCATTTGATTCAGCTGGGGAGGTTACCAGCAACTGCAGAATTAGTGATGAATGCATTTGCTAAGTGTGCCATTAAGAAATGAGCCATGGGCAGATGGAATAGGGAAGTGAAGAGCAGCTTTGAGCATACACCATCCTTACAGAGGTGATGCTGGGAGCTGCAGTGCTATGGGAACCAACAATACTGGGCTCTGGCTAAGGTGGATGTACAAAGGAGCTTTGAAAGAGCCCCAGAACTGTATGCCTTATGGAAAGGAGTGAAAACCTCCCCTGCAGAGGCTTCCTTGCATCCTCCAGAGATGGTGCTTGTCTAGTAATGGGGTGATGAGCAACAGTGCTGGGGGGGAACTGCTCCTTCTGTGGCTGTCCTAGCGCTGCCTGGCCAGCCCTGGCTCTGTCTCAGGGTTCATCACCAACAGTAAGAGAGCCTGTGTTAGTCAGGAATGTCGGTCATGATCCTCAGGACTGGGTCTGTTTTACAATCCATCTAAGTGTAACAGACAAAGAGCAAGGAAAATGCAGCAGAGCCTCTTCTCTCCAACTCCCCCAGGCAAATATGGAACAAGAACCAAAGGAAAGAGGTAGAAAGCAGTGCCAAGCTATTTTTTATGCCGCACAGTCCTTCCTGAGTCCATAAGAGCATCCATAGCAAAACAGGCATGTCTGGCAAAGTAGTCACTCGGAAAAGTGGTGAAAACAGAATTTGTCCCAATGCAGGTATGCAGAATTGGTCCTGATGCTGAAAATGAGACCAGAGCATGCATTTAACTTCTTTTCAGGCAGCCCTGTTATTCTTGGCTCACACCTTCAATAGAACTATCCAAAATACAAAATTAGCCATTCATCTTCACATAATAATGAAGGAAAACTGCACGAACAAGGTCTGGTGGAAACATGGCTGTCTTGAGCTTCTTGGCTCAGACACTAAGAAGTGCCTTTTGTCACTGTTCCTGGCCGGATCTCTTTCTGCATTACCTCAGTGCCTCATTTTCTGGTCCTCTTTTCTTCAGCTGCTCTGTCCCACACTTGGTGTATGATCTTCCCAGCCTGTGGTCTCACCAAATAAGAGTTCCTACAGAACCAGGAGGCACTGCTGAGAAATTGGAGGGTCCTGGTTCATGTGGGTAGTACTGGTCAAAAACTGCTGGCAGTGCGAATCCTGCCAAAACAAACCATTAATTTAAATCCACATTTGAATGGGCAAGTGTTGATTTCAATGAGTCTTTTCAGCGGTGGTGTGGGAAGGGAGGGGGAAGTGAGCACTGGATTTCTGCTTTTGGCTACTGCTTGAAGCTGTCTCAGAAAGAAGTGTTTAAATCCTATTGTATAATATGCAAGTTTAAGAAAATTGAAATGAAATCTGTTGAGCTGCTAATTTAAGGACTTCTGGATTTGCCTCGTAAGAAACATCAACATTTTAGCTGTCCTTGTTCTGACTTGGAACACGCTTCCCCAAACTGTTGGAATTTCCCACAGAGCAGATGTTCAATCCCTAATTTGTGCTTCGTCAGCAAATACTTGGATTCCAAGACCATCCCTCCCACCCTGCTCTGTCTGTATAGGATGTCTGCTGGGGGATCCCATGTCTGCACACCCCTGGTGTTCAGTACCTCTCACAGCTCAGCTGTCCCCTTCACCTTCGGGCACCTTGTCTGCTCTGGGAGCTCATGGTCGTGCCTGGCTGCTGCGGCACTGACCAGCCTGTGCCGAGTGGAGGTGTTATTTCGGGCAGGCATCACAACAAGCTGTATTTATACAGGCTGCTGCTCCAAGGTGCATCAACATAATGGGGTACATAAAAGGGGAAAGGCGGTTAAATGTGTAATAACATCACAATAAAAGGAAAACTGAGCATTAATGAAAAACCTGCGCGTGCTACGTGTGGTACAGTTGAACACTCCCACTGCTTGGGCCTCAATACCAGACTTTGTAATAGTTTCTGGTGGCGTCATTACCAGAATTAAATGAGGACCTAACTGTCCAGAAAGACATTTGGGGAAAAAATGGGTCTTAAGACTTATTTCTGCTGTACATGTGTCTCCAAGCAGCATGAGCTGAGGGAGCTGCTGCAAGGGGGCATGGTGGTTGGGTGTATGGGGTGAGGAGGGGGAAGAAATGGGTGTAAAAAGAGGTGTTGGAAGTGAAACTGTGCAGTGACTGGAAGGTGTCAAAGCTCCTGGAGAGCTCTGTGTATGGACACCCCTGGCTCTGACCACACACAAGGTTCTCCAGGGCCAGCAGTGCTGCAGGCAGTGCTGCTGGTCCCTGTGGGGCCTTTGGGACTTCAAATTGCAGACCCCAGAAATACTGAATTCTGGCCAACAGGCATGAACCACTGGGAAAAACAGAATTAACCCGATCGTTTTCCTGCCAATAAATAACATCTTTCCTCTTCTCTCCTTCCCCTCTGTGCCCAGGTTGTGAAGACCCAGTGGCTGTGTGCCGAGACCATGGCGCCCAGGCTCCCGGGAAGGGGGTCTGTCTGTCTCACTGCCCTTGGAGTCCTGGTCCTGCTCTCTGCTCTCCCTGCTGACGCTGGGTAAGGTGGTGAGAGCCTTGGCTAAGGCTGCAGTCCCCTTGCTATGCTTGAATATACCTGAGCTGGTGCCTGGATGAAGCAGTCCAGGGTAAAATACTAAGAAGTCTGCTTCTTTGGGTGCCCTAGTATAAATGCAGAGCCTTGCCCCGGTTCCTCCGAGTCCTCCTGGCTTTGGACACTGCCACCAGCCTTTCTTCCTGGCCTCTAGGGGTGGGTGAAAGGCTGTTAGACTGTGACAAGCCTGGCAACCCTCCTCCTGTCCTGCCTGAGCCTCTGCTGAGGCTTGGGGAGCCTGGAGAGCCCTTTGAGGAAGCGTGGCAGGTCCCTCCCTGGCACAGCTGGGGGGGAGAGATGCAAATAATATGTGGCTTCTATAAAAGAATTAGAAAATTATCTTCAGAGTGCTCAGTACAGACACAAATGTCTGCTGTGTGCAAATCCAACAGCACTCGAGGACTTTCATGCAGGAACAAATGTCCTGGTTCAGTGCTCTGCCCGTGCCCCCTCTGCATGCAGCTGTTTGCCCAGCTGCAGGCTCTTACCACTTCAGCTGCTTGCACCCAATTTTGCATAAACAAATGCATCCCGTGTATGCCTGGACGTGCAGATGCTGACCTTGGTATCGTGGTGCTGGCCGCCGGGGGACAGCTGCAGTCACTGCCTCCCCCTTCCCTCCTGCTGACCTTTTGCTTCCAGTTGTCTGATGGCTGCTGCTGCTCCCTTGTTACCTGCCGTCCCCACTGCAGGATTAATTTCCTAAATCACATATGAAGGGCCCCTTCTTCAGACACTAACCTGCCAGCGTGGCAGCCAGCTCTCCAGAGAGCATGTGCACAGGGATGAGCGGTGAGGCAATGACTTTTCCTCGAGCCTCTCCTAATTAAATTTGCTGTAAAACTGTCTTCTCTGCCTAAAGGCTTTTAATTGGTTTTAAACCATGAGCCACACACCTCTGCACCACTCCTCTGAGTTTTTCAGTGGGGCTGGCGGCTCTCCCCTGCCGGAGCCCCTCAATCCTCTCCTTGCCTGCACCGTGCTCCCACGGTGCCTCCCCAGCTGATCCCACGCTGCTCGCATTCAACTCAAAGCCTCAAATGTCAGGCTAAGCTAAAGTGGCTTTGAAATTTGTAAACTCACTTTTCCCATCGCTGCTGAGCCTCTGCCAGGAGTTCCTTCACAAAAATCTGTCCTCTCCCTCTTTATATTATGGGTAATTTTTAAAGATAGCTTATAAAACATTAATGAATGAGCTTTCATGAGCATGCTAGCTATTCATAAGTTATACATGCTTATATACCCATCAGCATACTCTGGTACAGATTGCTTTTAACCATGACATCTAGTGAAAGCTGACACAATTGAAACCTCACTAATTACTGTAGACGTTTGTTAAATTCCTTAAAATCCTCCTTACCTTCGGGGAGTGCAGATCCTTCAATTCTGCTTTATGATCAAGTTCAGGTGCAAAGCCAAAACCGTGTTTTGATTCAAGTGAGTCTAAAAAGGCTGCGATGCAGTTCATAATAGCAGGGGTGTTTTGATGTTTCAGAACTGATTTGGTTGCACTGGGGCTGGGGGATGTTTCCCCACCCTGCCCCATGCTTATGGGAGCTGCAGTTCGAGCACTTCACGCCTGCTTCTGGAGGCTGAGCTTCCTGGCTTGGCCACTTCTCAACATGAGAACATGAGTGAGTGGTTTGCCAAAAATTATAGACCGAGAAGCCTCAGGAGAAGAGGGATCTGGTCCCCAGAGAAATAAACCTCAAACACTTGGAAAGCAATTTCCCACAGTGTTTGGTCATTGACTGATTAATGTCAAAATCGCCCCAAATGAAATATTTCAATTAGTGACAACGTGCTGAATAACATTAATTCAGCCTGACTCTAAAATTACCCACACCCTTCCCTCCTCCATTTTCTTTTTTAAAAACATTTTTTTAGTCCCTTATCTAACAGAAGCTGGGTTTTCTGTTAGAACATTTTGACAGAGAACTCCAATCCAGCTTTGCTTCTTGTCACCCTCTCAGCCCTCTGCAGAGTATTTGCAGATGGACCCAGAGTGTCAGGGGTGGTTGGTCTAACCAGATGGGATGCTGCAGGATTAAGCTCTGAACTGGTTCACTGACATTCTCACCCCCACCCCCTTTTCTTTTCTCTCCATAATTACTTCTCGGTCCCTGCTTTTTCCTTTAAACCCGTGGCAGCACCCCACAAGCTGCTAGGGGATGCTGAGGCAGCCTTGTGGGCTGGAGCGAGCTCTGTGCTCTGGGGGCTGCTCGTGCCTCCCGTACAGAAAAATGGAGAGCAGAATCTATATCTGGGGGTTGGCTGGGTTTCTTCCATTGTCATGTGGGTTTCTGCCTTTTTTTATTTCTTTATTTCTTTTTTTTTCTTGTTTTTATTAATCAGTGTCTGTTTTATTCCCTCTTCCATCTTCCCTGCAATCTCTGCATCTCTATAGATTTTTACTACTTTTGGTTTTCTGTTGCTTAATTTTCTGCCTTTCCATTAGTTTTAGTCCCAAAAGCTACTTCTGCTGGGAAAAGCTGTGCTTGGAGCTGCAGCACTGATACCCTGTGCTGTCCAAAATCTCTTTTAGAAGCAGCTGTTTTCACTAGGCTCCATGGGCTCCTTTTCTGTTGATTGAGAGGGAGACACAAAATGCAAATTTACTATTTGAGCCCTTTGGGCTTGCAAAATTGCATTGGATATTTTGTTTGGTGATATGAGTTTTGTTTGAGAAATTTGCTGCTTATTTTATTCCACCCGGGGCAGAAAATGCCCCAAGGAAATCATCTTATTTTGGGCTCCTGGGCTTCTTGGGCTGAGTGGAGATAGGTACATGAGAACTCATTTGATTTTATAAACAGGGAAAGTTCAACAAACTGCAGAAACGGTTCACAGTTTTAATGATGGACTCAGCCTCCCATCCTGCTTTACCGATTTCAATTTTTCTGCCTCCCTTCCCTCTTCCCAGGAGCAGAGTACTTGGAAGTGGGCTGATAGGGTAAATTACTGGCACCTCTTACTCTGCAAGGAGAAACCAGGACTTGTGTAACCCTGAGGTTTTGGAGCCTCTGCTCCTACAACATCCTTCTTAGGGGCAGCCTAAGGCTGGGCAGGTTGGTTTGAGGAGCCCTGCAGAGGGTCCTGTGCATGTGGTCCTATCAACAGATGTGCCACATCCTGCAATTTGGGGCTGTTGCAGTGCAGGCTGGGGAACAGATAAGTGTCTTTTCATTTCTATAAGTGCTCGGAGAATATAAAGAACGTTTCTCTTCTGATCATGGCTTTTTTCTCTCTCCTCTTTTTTTCCCCAAATGCACCAGGCTTTCTCAGAAGCATGTTTCCGACGTCATTGATGACAGCAAAGATAACATCACCATTTTCACCCGCATCCTGGACAGGCTGCTGGATGGCTACGACAACCGCCTCAGGCCTGGACTCGGAGGTCAGTTGGGTGGAGTGATGCCGTGCTCCGCAGCCACGTAGCTTCAGGACAGAGGGGCTGCCCAGGGGGCTTGAACGGGTCTGCCCCTGTTGGGAGAAGAGTCTGGTTCAGTGCTAGAGCCAGTCCGTTGCTGGTTTCCCCAATTTTGGTCTGTGCTATCTCATCGGTGTTTTGTGAGAAGAGTGGTGCAAGTCTCCATGCGTGTTGTGGCCTGCTATGACATTACATTGATAGGCCTGTAGATGGAGCAAATAGGATTTTATTTATTTCCACTAATTTAATAGATATTGTGATGTCCTAAATTATGACTCTACTAGTCTCTAGAACCTTTGAATCATGTTGGTATTACGTTTTAGATCGTAGGCTTTGCTGCACAGCCTCTCTTGATGTCCTTTCAGCTGTTTCCTATGTAGCCACTCTCTAGGGAGCTCTTCGGTGTGCTGTGCTTTAGAAAGCAAAAACATTGGTGGTCAACTTCTAATGCTTATGGCACGCACCTAGCATAGCATATGGAGCGAGAAGCTATGGGAAGATGTTGCTCCCAGTGCATTGCTGGACTGCGATTCCCACACAGAGCTGGACTTGCAATGTGTTTGCCATTCCCTGAAGGCCAGGCTGCCAAGGGGGGTTGGGAATGAGCTTTCTCTCTCCCTTGCATACTGATGGGGGCTCTGGTGATGTAGTAACAGGCTGGAATTGCACCTGCTGCTCCTCTGCCTGGTCCCCTCTCCTGCCCTTGCCTTGTCCCTCTGCTCACATCTCTCCAGGACAGCTATGGCCCCCAGCAGCAACCATGCATAATCTGGTGAAGAAGGGTTTTTTCCAGTGAGCATCCTCACCTCTGACAGGCTGCCATGCTGCAGAGCCCAGCCAGGAAAGGGTTACTGCATCTGCATAGGCCATCCATCAGCTTTATTGCTTTTGTTGCTTGTTTCTTTCCCCCAGAATTAACTGCGGTCCCACTAATAGCTTTGCTTCCTCAAGTCTCCCCGATGGCTGTATTGATTTAACTCAAACGAGTTCTGAGAGGGGACTGAGGGGGCATTTATGTTCACTGTAGGCTTGGTTGCAGACAACCCTGTGCAAAGTATTAACAAGAGGACTCCCAGGAGCCCCCTTGCTGGGAAAGTTAAAACCTTTCTTGGAATATCTCTGCTCTGTTGCTTTAGATCCTTTAATAATGTGCTTAACATAATAAATTGCCTTTGCCTGAACCAGACATTGCACGCTCAAAGAGTGCTTTCACCTCCGATTTCCCCTCACGGAGCACTCTGGCAGACCCAGGTGGGAAGTTTTGACAAAGGTTACAGGCTTGGGGCACTCCGGAGGCCAGAAGGGCAGAAACCATCTTGCTGCAGGCTTAGGGGTCAATCGGCGGTTCTGGGGTGATTGTTAGCGTGAGGTGAGTTTCTGTTGTCCAAGGTTATGTGAAAACTGGGAAAGGGACTGCTTTGCTCCAGATTAGCACGACAAGCATTGTGTTGCTGGGTGGTTCGGTGACTTGCACGGTTCCTTGGCTTGCCTGTAGGTAGCAGGGGACAACCCATGTCGACCCAGCACCAGGCTCTTGCTGTTTCCCTTGGGAATATCTTCCACTTGCTTTTCTTTGTGAGGACTTCAGGAGGAAGCATCTCTTAACACCATGCAGTCTTGCTTTGGTATTTGAAAAGGGCAGATATGGTGGGGTTGTGCCAGGGACAGGCTAATGGAAGGATGGACTGGCCTAAATAGTGGGTAACAGGGCAGCAGGACATGCAGGCTCACTTCTTGGCCCCATTTTCCCTGCTTTCTGTCACGGACATCACTCTGAAAACCCTTGGTCAGGATGTGAGCAGGCTGTGGGGCTGGGTGTACCCAGGCACCTGCCCCCGCACCCAGCAGAGCCTCCTCCACACGCGCCGGGAACTGAGCAATGTTTGTTTAGGCTTTGGGAGAAGTCTGTGTAAGCAACAGAGTGTTGATGTGGTGACTTCTCCCCTCAAGATAGCCTCTTTGTATTTATTTTCCTATCCCCTCTGTTCTCACCATCTGCTGCCACCCACTCTAATAGCTGCCATGCCAGCGCTCCCCTGCCTACCGGGATGCCGCCGGCACGGAGCGCAGCGCAGCAGCGCTGAGCCTGCTCGGAGCACCCGGGGCTGCAGGAGGGTGTCCCCGTGCCTCTGTGCTGTGCCTGGCCCTGGGATGGGGCTCAGGGCATCCTCTCGAGCCAGCAGTCCTCGCAGTCTTGATGGCACGCTGAGGTTTGTGAGCACACACTGAGGTTAGAAGAAGAGCGATGTTTTTCCTGGCCAGGAGGGAGAAGGTATCTGTCAGCCCCTTCCTTCTGCTGGACAACCCCATAGCAGTGGGGACACCACCGCTTGTGTCACCAGGAAGTCTTTTATGTCTGGTAGAAAGTTTCTTCCCTGTTTCTGCCTGGTGGCTTGCTCTGATCAGGACCGAGTCCTGTGCTGATTTTGGTCCCACAACCACTGAACTACAGCCTGGGTTTGGGAAAGGGGCAGCTTTATAAACAGGTCACATTATGGGGCTTGGAGAGGAAGGAACTTTCAGCAGATAACCTGTCTTTCCCCTGAGAAAACACGGTGCAGATGGGCTATTAAGTCAGAAGGGGAACAGACAAGGACCCCGAGGGGATGCAGACATCTGCTGTCACGGCCAACCTTGCAGGAGAAGAAAATCTCCTGCTGAGAGAGTTTCTGTGGGCAGCCTTGGCCTCCCCTCCTGGTCCGGATCTGTGCGTTCATGTGGATCCTGTCCTGGCCCTGCGGGGCTGTGGCGAGGGGCATCTATTTATAGCCCACAAATTCTCTTTGCTGCTGGGGCTCCCTGCAGAGCCGGCGTGCAGAGAGGTCTCTGCTTTGAACCCAGAGCTCGCCTTTCTTGTGAGCGTTGGAGGCAGAAGACGTGGACGTAGAAATGGCAGACAAAGGGAGAGGCATCCTATAGCTGAAAAGAAAGGGTGCTCAGGGAATGGGATGTGAGTGATGAGGCACTGGGTGATCCTCTGAGAACAATGCACAGAAAACCCTTTATGCTCCTGTGCTGCTTTCTGCGAGGAGTGGTTGATGTGCAACCCTTACACAGCCAGATGGATGCCTGGCACTATGAGAGGGGATGTAGTGCCTGTGGTTGGGTGGTTCAGGGTTCAGCAGTGGTCCCTGTGCAGCTCTCACCTCCTGCAGCCTTATTTCCGAACTGGTGGAGTTTGGGTACGTTGTGTTGTAACCTAAACACACCTACCTTGTGTGTGTCTAGCTCTTTGCAAAGCAGGGTAGGGATTTCTCTTCTCTCAGCCAGAGGATCTCTGCTTTGGAGAGGGTGTCAGTGTCTGAGGTGTTTGGTGTGAGGCTGAGGTCCTGAGAACATGTGGAGCAGCGCTGGACAAAATCTCCATACTGGTGACCAGGGAAGCCTCGACTCCAGAAAGTTGTTGGCCTTTTCCAGGGGCTGCCACAAGGAGAGAGTAGCTGGTCATTTTCTTTGAAAAGATAGGCTTCAAACTTTCTAGATGAGCCAGTTTCTTTGCTGCAATTAAACGGCATTTTGTAGCAGCTGGGCTGCTACTGATGGTTGTTGTTCCTCCTGGATTCAGCATCACCTGCAGCATAACTCTCAGTCTTTGCCTGAAGAAGCTTCTACATCTTTCTGGGGTCTGCAAATGGCTGGCCTGGTCCTGCTGGAGGAGCACTGGCAGGACAAGCATCCTGCTGCCCTGTGTCCCTGTGCTGTGACAAGGGTTAGGAGCCTTCTGAAGAGCGTGGAGTTTACCAGCAAACATGGGCAACTGGATTAAAGCAATGCGCCTGCAAGGAGAACAAGGCATGTGGCCCCCTTGGTCCCTTCTCTCTTGGGGACAGGGCACGGCACCCCTTCCTTGGCCTCAGGGTTGGCAGTGAGTGGGTCCCCCAGCAGAGGGGAAGCCCCACTTTGTGTCTTCACAGCTGGGTGTACCAGGATGAGAGAGTAGCCTGGGCTCGTGGCTGCCTTCTTTTCCTTTTTCTCACCTCCACCAGGCTGCTTTTCATGGCACGGTGTCAGCATTTCCCTGCCCTTGCTGGGCTCAGCACAGACACCCTTTGGGTAAGGTAGGGTTTGGGCTCTGCCAGTAGGACACAGATCAGGGCTGCCCACCACGGCCCTCTGGTGCCTTTTATCTGGGTTTGTTTCGTCAGCTCTGCCCTGTGAGTGGTTTTGATCTGTAGCCACCTGTTAATATTTATCCTGCTGATGTATTCCCTTTATTCTTCTGTAACTGAAGTGCACTGCAACAGTTTTTTTTTTTCCTGTTTTCTTTCCATGGTGTGGTGTCTTCTCTTATTTTGATGATGGTGTAGTTTGCATGATGGCCTCTAAGCAAGCAAGAAACATCTGGATCCATGTTTTGCCACCTGTGTTTCCCTGATTCAAGTGCTGACAGCCGAAAAGTTTTGGTCTTGGGTTGAGAGTGCCTCTCTTTAGGTTGAGAGACACCTGAGTGACATTTGGTGCTCGGTGTGTTGCATCCTCATGCCTCTGTTATTTTGTCCTGACCTGCAGGTAGGGGCTTGTCAGCTGTGTGACCATCAAAGAGGAGGGGTTGAGACAGAGTAGGAAAATTCCCAAACTGCTCCTTGTTGATGCAGAGCTGATCCCCAGTAACAAAGGCTCTCTGGCTCCTCTGCTCAACAGGATACTGTCTTTTCACCTGTGTTGTGAACCTACATACGGTTTGCATCATAAACAGTTTCCTGATCTGCTGTTTGTGCAAGAGAAACACCAGATGACAAACCCAGTGTGTTTCGTTGTGATTTCCAGGATTTCAGGACTGTGTTTACCCTGTTTTTCTCTGAGTGTTCCACCTCTCCGAACTTCTCATCTTTTCTCTCTGATCTGACTTCATGCCTTGCACTGATTACTCCAGGGAGGAATTTGACTCTTTCTTAGACAAAATCCATGTCTTATCTCAGATTTTTGTCTTTGGCTGAGATTCCTTGATGAGTTTTAATTTGAAGCCG